GAGGTAGGTACATAAAAGAGTTCTATATAACATCCAGAAATGGTAAAATAGTTTGTCCAGTTATTACTTACGATAAAGAGAATGATTATTGTACCATCAATGATAACTCATTAACAGATGATAGGTATTATATAGCATTCGATAAAAGCCTACCTTTTCACCCTTATACTTTATATCTAAATGGAGAACTAAGTATTATGAATGAATATGAACCGACTGCATTAAAAACAGATAAGGCAATAAAATGTTCTATCATTGAAGCTGAAAATGCATTAAAACTCCATAAAAGCGATGTTCACTACTTTTATAAACCATCTATCATCACAGAAGAAACAATAGGAGAGGACGAATATTATAAGATGGTATATGAAGTACCTGATAACTATGAAATACCTGATAAATTAAACTTTGTCTTCAAGGAACATTGTTTTGGCAATACATGGAACCTACAATGGAATACTGATAAAAGTCTTGAGAATAAGGGATATTGGTCAGGAAATAATGCGAAAGGTCATCTTAATGGGAAAGTCATTAATAAATGGAATATTCGACCTACTAAGAAAGCCAATAGTTGTTATGGTTGTTGGATAACAGTCAAACAAACAGACATGCATGAAGCAATAATTACTAATGAAGGAAATGGTTTAATGCATTCACTATTAAAGAACTACAAAAATGAATTTAAACTAGAAATGAAAGATGGAACTATTAAAGATGGTAGTGAATGGAATATGACATGTGCATATGAGAACCACCTAACTGATGGCTTATCAAACTCATTACATCCTGGTTATTATGGCACTGTTCTTCTATACATATCAATGGATAATACTGAAGGAATTAGAACTGATTTGGTTGAAAAGATATATTTAGATATATATGTAGGTGAGTCTTCTACAGCAACAAGGTTATCATTCAAACCTGATGGGTTCCATGCACAAAAGAATGGAAAGGTATTTGTTGATGTTATACCTGTTCTTGATACTATTGAGACAATTAGCTATGATTGGGGCTTTTGCTTAGATGTAGGTGAAACCAGAGACATAAAATTATATTTGAGGAAGGATTATACAGACCCTATTGATGAGATTAATTGGGATTCATCAACTAATGCATTTAAGTACATAATAGACCAGCAGTTTTATGAAATAACACCAAATCCTAATGCAGCTACTACCTTATACACAGACTACAATATTACTAGTTCAAAGATTATAACAGCTGATAATATTACTACCATGAGGAGTGATTTAAATGTATTAACCAATAATTTTGATGTAGTTAGTTATGATGTTAAGGACATAACCTCGAAAGTAAATGTGTTAAATGCAGAAATGGGAGAGACTAAAAGAATTACTAAACATTTACAAGAAGACATAGACCAGGTTAGAATAGTATCTAATGTAGCATTAGCATTTGGAGTTATAGGAACTGCAGGTAGTATAGCTAATGTTGGTTTTACATTGTTTCGAACAGGGTTCACATTTACAAAGGCTGGTATAGATGCTACTATTGAAGGTGTATCACAAGGTGAACAAGCTTTGTATCATCTAGGTGATGGAAGCAACCTACCTCCATTAAAAATAGGAAGGTCAACTACAACTGATTTAACACCTATTATTGATTGGTGTGATGCAGAAAAGGTAGTTGTTGAATATACTGATGAAACTGAAGACATTTCAAAGACGATAACAACATATCGAGATGCTATTGATTTGTGTAACCATTTCAGGGAATCATTAAAACCTGCATTTAGGCTATTAGCTGATAAAATAAATGAGGTTAATGAGGAAGTAGAAAATAATAACTATGTTGATAAGAATGATTTAGTAAGAGATGATACTATTGATATAGTAGGTAGTATTGTTAATAAGGAAGTACACCTAGAAGCTGAAGATGTTATTACAGATGGTATTATTAAGGCAAGGCTAATGGTTATGAAGGTTAGTGAGTTTAATGACATTGACTATGAGGAGTGTATAATAACTATTACTATTGCAGATGGTACTTTAAGTCAATATGTAGGCTGTGATTACTTCCCAACATGCACCTTAAATGGCAAGACAATAGTTATAGCCAACCCACACCAAGTAAGAGTTACTGGTATAGCCATTAAAGAAAATAGTGCTGTTAGGAGAATGTCATTTGAAGTTAAGGATATAGCATATACATGTGATATAGATGCACTTAACAACAAGGTAGACTCACTTGAAAAGATATCCCACGACAATAATGAATCAATAGCTACTATTATGAATGAATACCCCACAGTTGATGAGGTTAATGATGTACTAAAGGAGTATGCATTAAAGAAAGACATTAGAAAATTTAGAGAGAAAAATGATTTGATATACAAAGAATCTATTGAAGTGCCATTTGAAAATGTACAAGATAATTCAGGAACGTGGGAAGTCAAAATAAAATTGAATAGTGGAACTCGTCTTGTTGGGACATTTACTGATGACTCTGAAATGGTTCATAATTTTGATATTCTATTTGTTCATGATGATAATACTGTTATTAATGAAGAAATATATTGGGTAGAGGAGATAGATGGAATATCCTATGAATGTGGCTATGAACCAAGGGATGATGGTTATTGTTGCTTTAATGTTGAAGGCTTCAATACCAAATTAATATTAGCCGAAAAAATATTGAAACAGGATGAAATAGCTTTAAAGAGTGATATTACATCATTATTGGATGACTTATATTGGAGAATATTTTATTTAGGATTTCACAAATCATATTATGAGGATATCCCAGAATTATGCTCATATTCTTACGATACTAGCTCTAAAAAATTAATTGTATGTGTCGGATATAATAGTTTATATATGGAAATGTTATTTATATTTTACGATTCAAATGACAAGAAACATTATGTTAGAGTTAATTATAGTGAAGGATTTGCAGTACTAGATGAAATATATGGTGAAGATAAACTTAGAGAATCCAATAGAAAAAGAGATTTTGAATATGATTTTTATCATATCGATTTTCAATTAAAGGGCTCTGGAAATATACCATTTACTGAATACTATTTAAAGCAAGTCAAAGCCACACCATAAAAGAGGCTTCTCGGGGTAGGTACCTGTGCCGTTTCATAAATGGTTGGCATTGAGGTGGGTGGGTGGGATAACATGAAAAGAAGAAGAAGAAATTTTTTTTTAAATTTTTATTTTTTATTTTTTTTTAATTTTTTATTTTTTAACTAGTTCGTGTTGACGCGTGGGCCCCAGGCTCCGCGGAAACCGACTAGTATATACTACTCAAGAGCTGATCCAGCTTTATATGTTGGTATAGTTGGTTGCGGAACGGTTAATTGATTTTGTTCATTAATTTTAATTGTTGAATTATCAACATTAACGCCAAAAGTGTCTGTATTTAATGTTAATGCATTACCTGCTTTATATTCTTTACCAGTTCCGCCTCCATTAATAACTTCTAATTGATTTTTGTCATTAACTTTAATAGATGAACCATCAACGTTTGCATTAATTTGATCATTAATTATTTGAATTCCTTTTCCTCCTTTGTAATCAATACCACCTCCTCCACTTGATCCAGAATTAACAACGGATAGACATCCTTCATTATTGAGACATAATGTTGAATCATACTTGACAGATATCATTCTATCCTCAAGTGATATTGCATGACCTGGTTTGTAATCAGTATTTTCATCGACGTTTTGTTTTGAATACATCTTTTAAATCAGGTAAAAATAATTTTTATAATAATTATAAAATGTCTGTTGTAAAAACTTATTATTATGTACAAGGTGCAGGATTGAGCCCAACAAAATATTATGAAAGAAAATTTCCTCATCAATTCATAATAAGTCGGAACCCTAAGTTTATTCATGTTATTCATTGTAGATGCTTATTTAGTGATTCTATTGTAGGCGATATTATGTTACATTGTTCATTCATAGAAAGAGATAATTATTTAGATTCGTTTGTGTGCTTTACCAACACTATATTAACTAAATACAAAAAGTATGAAGTGACGAAACCTAAAGATACATTCAAGATATGGTTTACTGACTTAAATGGTAATCTTATTAATGTTCAACAGTTTGTATTAGAGCTAATGTTAGAGTTTTGAAGTAAAAATGAATGATTAAAAAATGACTGAAAACATTAATATTTTTGCTTTCCGTAAGGTAACCCGGGTAGTCCGGGTAGTCCAGGTAACTTGGGTTACTACACTTATAGAAATTTTAATGGGCACAAGGCAAAAAGGCACACATTTATACCAAAATCCAAAAATAAAACTAAGTTTATTTATTGAATTCAGGAAAATATGTATCGACAAATCTACCCCATTCACTTAATTTTTGTTCTTGTTCGATTAACTTTTCTTTAATCTCTTTATAATCATTTATACATCTTCGTAAATCGTCCTGCTCCCATTGATCTAATTCATACACTTTATCTCTATATCCCCAACATTGATTTTCTAGAGTTTGTGTTTGAATCGATGGAGCAATTTGTTTTGCAACATCAACAAATACAGGTTTAGCATTCTCTACCGTATCAGGTAATTGTTTTTCATTTAATACCTCATGGACTTTATCATTGATTGAATCCATTATTTCAGCAACGATGAATGCGTAATCAACGGAACAGTATTCAGCAACAAAATGAACTAATTTAGGATGGATATATTCTCCTTGATACTTCGGAGCCACTTTTTCAAGAAAATATGAAGGTGGTCGAATTATACCACCTTCGGAATAACGACGTTCAAACGCATTTTTGACCGATTTCCATGATTTTGTATTCTTGTAATGTCTCCATTGTTTATTATTCGACGAACACATTTGTGAAGCGTTAACGTATCCGTCAATGGTATTGATAATGATTTCGACACCGTTGTATGTTTTGACTTCGAAGTTGTAAGCTGTCATATTTATTAATTTATAAAAAATAAAAATAAATAAAAAACTAAGTCAAAAATAATTTCTTCATGTTTTAACTTTTTTATTTCTTCATGAGAACGTAGTATAAAGGTATTATGCCGCCCCGGGGGGATTTATTCCCATGTTCACATATCAGTGACTTGGCGGATAGATGTTGGTTCGAGTCCAACCGTTCACCTTAAAATTTATTTTTTATTAATTTACACTCAAAAATTCAAAGTATTTTACTGTTTTTTCATTAATTTTCATCATTTTCATGTGTTTCTGTCTAAAATTTGTGCCTTTTTGCCTTGTGCCCCTTAAAAAATCTATAAGTTTTGTAACCCGGGTTACATGGACTACCGGACTACCAACGAAAAATAAATTTTACATCAATTTTCAACATAAACGACAAAAATAAAGTAAGAGCTTTAAAATAAGTGATCAGGAATATTTGTTCCATGATAAACGAGACCATTATTGGCATCTATTGTAAAGAATGTATCCTGACAAATCCAAAGTTCTGCTGGTGGCGGATGTTGGGTAGAATCAACAGTACCATCATCGTTAACAAGAAAGTTGTAATATGTGTCGTTAACACCTTTGAACATAGGTTTTCCTCTAAATGTAACAGGAACATTATTGTTTCCAAAATCGACACCATCAAATGTATATCCAGCGTTTGATCGTTCAAGTTGAAAATTGATTCCAAAGCTTGTTCCATCACTTCTGCAATTAGATCTACGTTTACCATAATCTAAACTTCCTTCAGTCATATCATTAAGTGGATCAGTAAATGAATTCTCGAATTCTTCAGTTGCTTCTAAAGATCCATCAAGTTCATTAGCGACAAGTTGAAGTTGATAGAAACGTGACCCAATTGTTTGTAGTTCAGTGTCAGGAATGGCGTGTTTATTAACAAATAATTGAACATTTTAATACATGATATTATCGAAACATGTTGCATCATTTGAATGTTTAGGAAATACAACAGTGATATTTGTTACTGAATTAAGAGCTATATCAGTAGTTGTATCAATACCATTTGGACCAGCAGCGTTAGGAAAATGTCTACGATCAAGTGATTGTGATTGAATAATAATTGGTTTTTGAAGAAGTTGTCGTAATTGTTCCATTACATGTGATTTAACACCAAATCCACCAATAGTGGTTCTCATTTGTTCAACAATACAATTTGTGATAGAAAGAGTAACACTTGAAATGCCATATGAATATGTTCCATCATCTTGAACCATTAATTTTCTTTTTTCTTTAAGACTAAGTGATTCTGTGTCATCACTTGAAGTTGATTTAGTGATTGAAGAGATGATTCGAGCAGCATTACCACATTGAGTGAATTTATTTGTGATTCCATAATAGTCTGGTAACTTGACGGACATAACATCACCGTTCCATGTTTCCAAGGCATCTTTAACTACAGATGGTGATATTGGTGCCCAAACAAAAGCGTCAGTAGAAGATTCAACCAATTCTTTTAATTCACCACATATTGCATTAGGGTATAACATGAATGCTTGATATTTGAGTAAGTCAGTGTAAGGAATGACTAATTCCATAGTGTATGAATGCTCACGACCGTCAGCTAATTCAGAAAGTGGAATATAAATACCACAAACTGATTCAGAAAATGATGAAACATTTTTCCATGTTGAATGACTGTATTTGGCAGTAGATTTTTCAGAACGTGGTTTAAGACAATTATAAGCAAATTGTTCACGAATAGCTTCACTTTGTGTGTTTTTACACATGATATTATTGCAGATGGAATCAAGTTTACTAAAGAATTCAGCAGAATTTTTGAGACCAACGAAGACACGAATCAATTTCTTAATATCATTATCGAATCCTGCTAATGTTTTATCAAGTTTGACATAAAGTTTGAGTTTGACGCTAATAAATGATTTCTCCATTTGTGTAATTGGGAAGTTTTCAGTTGTGAGATGTAGATATGATTTGGTACCAACTGGATGTGGACAGTTTGAATCAAAACATTCAAAAGTTTTCCAGTTAAAGTAATGATCTCCTCCATTTACTTGAACAAGATTAGCGACTTGATCTTGAAAGAATTTATACAAATCACCTTCAGCATTAGTTAGTCCTTTTGTTGCAGCGTTTGCGTATGTCATTTATGTATAAGAAAAAATAAAGAAATTATAATTTTAAATTTGTGATTTTTTGTGATTAAGAAATAAGTAATGGCTTTTGGAAGTTGGTTTAAAAATTTAGTTCAAGGAGCGAGTAAAATATTACGAAAAGTTGCACCAGTAGCAAGAAAAATCATTGGGGGAATTCAAAAACTTGCACCAATTGTAGGTCCAGTTATTGGCGGAAGTGCTGGTAAATTAATAAGTGATGTTGGGAAATTTGCAGGAAAAGTTGAAAAGGTGCAAAGCGCCGCGGACAAAGTCCTTGGCTGGAATACAGTCTCAAAATTAAATGCAGATCCAAGGTACTTGGTGAGCAATAGCGACCGTTTCGCACAGCCTATGTTAAAGAATTTATGAGTACAATCGTTTCCGTATTTCTTCAGTTAATGGTGGGTCTATATTTAATGAAGGGGAAAGTTTAACAACACGAATGAGTAGATTTATGAATTCAATGATTGTGAGACAACCGAGAAACAAATTTGATAGATTCATTTTAATAATTAATTTTTAATATTAACTAAAAATTTTTATTTTTGTTTTTAATTAAAGATATTTGATCAGAAATATTTCATAATTCATGGAATTACAAGTTATTGAACCTATTAAAAACTACTTAAAAGAGTTTCATTCACCAGAAGAGTTTAATGTATGGTACATGAAAAATAAAGATGAAGTTGATAAGCTAACGACTCACAAATTAAACAAAATGTATAAAATTGATGATTATAGAATAACAAAAATAAAGGGTGTGTTGATGTTGAAGAAAGACAGAGTTAAAAAATGTGACGAAGAACAAAAAGATAATAGTGGTGATATTGAAGCATTATACTCAGAAGTGAAAACATTAAAAGAAGCATATTGTGAACTCAAGAATAAATTAAACCAACTGATAGAATTAGTGAATAAAAATATGATGTAATAATTTATATTTCAATGTAAGTATCACCACCATCAGTACAATTAACATATAAGTAAGGATGTTTGTCAGGATTATTTTTCTTATATTGAGCCATTTTTCGATACATTTCATAAAAGTCATCAAAGTTAAGATTAGATGCAGATTGTGAGTAAATATAACGTAATTGCTGTTTATTGAAGCAAGGGAATACGAATAAAGTTGTGATTTCATTCTTGATATGAGGTTTGAGACCTTTCCAGCCTTGAATTAGTAAGAAGTAGGTAATGTTGGTATGTCTACATCGACGTAATTGTTGACTAAAGAATGATTCTTCTGATGAAAATAATTTACTGTTACTAATATCGTCAAAAAGGACTAATGTATGAAGGAAAGGTTTACTGAAATCTTTAATGTTAAGAGTTGTGAATAAGTCATCACGTTGTTCATCTATGATTTTGTCTTCAATGTGTTCTCGCTGAATGAGATAGTATAAATTTTTAGCAGCAATGAGAGTATTTATGAATTCAACTGAATCTTTTTCACTAATGGTAACATGAGGAATTTTGATTAAATGTTTCAATGATTGAAAAGATTGGTCATTCTCATCACCGTTTTTAGTTACATACACCAATAAATGAAAGACTGAGCTTTGGGATTCAGTATTTAATAGTGAAATTTTAATAATTTCCTCGAGTGCAACAACAGTTTTACCTAAGCATTGTTTACCAACTATTACATTTACTGAATTATAACGGACTTTGATATCAGGATGTATTTCTTTAATGAGATTATCAGTGCTTTTGTTTGAATTCAAAGCTTTTGTAACTTGTGTGTGAACTGTTAATCCTATATTTGCATTATTCATTTATGACTTGATAAAAATAAATTTATGACTCAATCAAGTCTGTCATTTATGTCTAAAATTCATCATTTTCGTCTTCAGGAAGTGTTGGGTACGCTTGATTAGTACCATAGTCAGGATGATTTACTGGTGCAGTTGATGAAAAGTTAGTTGGGACAACAGGACGTGAACCTTCAGCAAAGCAAGCACTGATTAATTCATCTTTGGCAGAAGATGCAGCAGCACTGATTTGTTTCTTAATTTGATTAACAACATCAGTAGAGATTTTTCCATCTTGTGTTTGGTTTTGACTGAATGTATTAGTCGCAAGAGTTACCAATGAGTCTTTATTGATACCAAATTTACTTAATTCAACAGCAACATCACTAGGATTCAAATTTATACTATAATTTTGTTTAACCCATTGAATAAATCCATTTTCGTATTTCTTTGTTGACATCTTTGACTTAAACTTCTTATAACGTTCAAATGGATCATTTGTTTTTTGTCTAATCTTATTAACTTCACCAACAATTTCTGGAACTGGATGATTCCATAATATAGATAACAATTGAACCCAATGACAAGCAATAATGGTTGTATAAGGAACACAACTATTAATAGCCTTAAATAATTTTTCATCTTGAGCTACGGGTGTGTCACTTAATAATGTTCTAACATATTGTTTGACATAATCGGTTACAAGTCGACCAAATATATGATATGCAGATCCTGATAATTTATAACCAGCAGCATTCCATGCATTAACAAAGTTAGTATAAACATAATTGCCATTTTGATCATGTCTTCCTTTGAATTCGTGACTGAAACCACTAAATCCTCCAGCAGCATGTCTTTTATCTTTGGTAGGATTTTCATCAAGGAATTGTTTACGTAATGGATACTGGGATTTCTGTAATGTCCAACCGTTAACCATAACTGGTTTTCCATAATTGTCGTAAACAACTGTATCAGGTATGTTATCATTATTGATGTCAACATCAGATTGAGGTACTGGGTATTTATGTTTGGCTGCCCATTCTTGAGCACCTTTTAAATTTACAGCATTACGAACTAAATGAAAGTCCTTCTTTTTGTTAAGAACAACATCTCCTAATTCATACATAGCTGGGTATTGTGTTTGCCATGTATTCAAATCACCAGGTTGTGCTACACGAGTTACTTTCGTACGTCTACTCATATTTAATAATGGGAAAAAATTTAAATTATTATCTATATTTTGTTTATTAAAAGTTTTTGGTGTTATTTTTCTAGTTAATCTAGAAATAAAATTT